GAGAGTGGTATCATCTGCATATCTGAGGTTGCTGATATTTCTCCCAGCAATCTTAATTCCAACTGGTGATTCATCTAGCCCCACCTTTCTCATGATGTGCTCTGCATATAAGTTAAACAGGCAGGGCGACAGTATGCAGCCTTGCCGAACTCTTTTCTCAATTTTGAACCAATCAGTGGTTGCGTGTCCAGTTCTCACTGTTGCTTCTTGACCCGCATATAGGTTTCTCAAGAGAAAAATAAGGTTGTCTGGTACTCCCATCTCTGTAAGAACTTGCCACAATTTGTTGTGATCCACACAATCAAAGGCTTTAGCATAGTCAATGAAGCAGAAGTAGATATTTTCTGGAACTCCCTAGGTTTCTCCATGATCCAGCGTATGTTGGCAATTCGATCTCTAGTTCCTCTGCCTCTTCAAAATCCTGCCTGTACTTCTGGTAGTTCTCGGTCCACATACTGTTGGAGCCTAGCTTGTAGGATTTTGAGCATCACTTTGCTAGCATGTGAAATGAGTGCAATGGTGCGGTAGTTTGAACATTCTTTGGCATTGCCCTTCTTTGCGATCGGAATGTAAACTGACCTTTTCCAATCCTGTGGCCACTGTTGAGTTTTCCAAATTTGCTGGCATATTGAGTGTAGCACTTTTACTGCATCGTCTTTTAAGATTTGGAATAGCTCAGCTGGAATACTGTCGTCCCCACTAGCTTTGTTGTTGCTCAGACTTCCTGAGGCCCATTTGACGTCACATTCCAGGATGTCTGGCTCGAGGTCAGTGACCACCCCATCATGGTTATCAGGGATGTTAAGCTCTTTCTTGTATAGTTCTTCTGTGTCATCTTGCCACCTCTTCTTAATCTCTTTTGCCTCTGTTAGGTCCCTGCCATTTTGGTTCTTTATCATGCCCATCTTTGCATGAAATGTTCCCTTCATATCTCCAATTTTCTTGAAGAGATCTTTGGTCCTCCCTATTCTATAGTTTTCTTCTGTTTCTTTGCACTGCTCATTTAAGAAGGCATTCTTATCTCTTCTAGCTATTCTCTGGAATTCTGCATTCAAATGGGTGTATCTTTCCCTTTCCCCCTTGCCTTTCGCTTCCCTTCTTTCCTCAGCTATATGTAAAGCTTCCTCAGACAGCCATTTTGCTTTCTTGCATTTCTTTTTCTTTGGGATGGCTTTACTTGCTACCTCTTGTACAATGTTGCGAACCTCCGTCCATAGTTCTTCAGGCACTCTGTCTATCAGATCTAATTCCTTAAAAGTCAAAGTCTTAATCAATCAATCAATCAATCAGTCAGTCAATAAAATCTTGCAACTCTCATGGTAGCATCTTTGGCTTCCAAGGCTTCTAAGGTGTCCTGAACACGTGCACTTTAACATCCACCATTACATCAGTACGTGCAAATCACATTAAGTAGAGACATACATGCAATACTGTAGTGGAGTCAGGGCTCACAAGGATGCATGCAGCCTGGTACTTCATTACTGAACATGAATGTTGGCATTATCTGCTACTTTCCTTGGGCTTCCCTGCTGAACTCTTCTTGACTGCTGAGGAAGAAATGCATTTCCCCAGCAACAATATATGATTCTCCATTGTAATGCAAAGTATTTTAGGGTGTCTTGTCCTTGAATGGGAAATTAGAATCTATTACTTTTTGAAAAAACACCTGCTTCTTGAAGAAGTTGGAGATAGATAAACAGGACTACATGCAGTTCTTGGCCTCTTCTGGGGGATATGGCCATGGGAAGGATCATGAATAGAACCTGCACTCCAGCATTTATCATTTGCTACTGCATATATGTGTGGGTCTGTGGGCACACACACATGCAGAAGAACAGTTTGTGGCTACTTTTAACCCTACATTTTTCTCCATAATCCCCATTGGAAAACTATAGTGATCAAGATGAGCAAAGCTAAAACTGAGCTATATAAGACAGTGCTCTCTTTTTTGAGTGCTCTCTTTTACTCCCCGGCTTCATTTTTGTATGAGCAGTCAGAGCAGGAGGAGGATCAAGACTAGTTTTGACATCAAGGTCAGTGGATCCTGAATTCTTCACTGTTTTGGGCCCCCCATGGAATTTATGTTCATTGTTTGAAGCCAGTCTGATTGTTCTAGCCTTTAACTTACAAATGGTAATTCCCTTAACTTCTTCCACCACAGTTTCCTCCTAAATCTAGACCTCCTAATAGCCTGGTTGGCACTTCAGTTTAGGGTTCTGCTTACTCCTTCCTTCAAAGTGTTATGCTTCCTGTGTTTTGATCCAGTTTGAACTGGTAGATTTCTATTTTACTGTTAATCAGATTAAGCACAACTTTTAAAGCATGCTGCCAGTCAGTGTGCTGCTGGTCCCTCAGATTTTTGCAGGACGTGGTCAAGGCATGAATGTGTTCTCAGCTCTCCATGTGTTCTCTGGTTGGCCAGGAGGCAAAGTGTCAGCTTCTCAGCCACTGTTAACAAAAGGGGCTGTGTATAAGTGACCCATGAAGGAGGCAGGGTTAAAACCTTCTCTCATTTGTGCTAGGTTTTTGTTTTGTACCTGCAGGGATTTGGGTATGTGGATAAGCCTTCAAGCGCACTTCCACCTACAGTTTGAAATGGTAGGGCCCTTTCATCTATCTTAGGACTCTACCACCTCATTTTGTTGAAGGGGCAGATTTGGCCTTTACCATAGGGCAACTTGATGTGGATTGTGCAGAACGTTTATGCAGGAGAGCCAATGTTTCAGTCTTGCATTTAATTGTGTTTGTGTTTGCTTGCTGCCTGCCCAGCATGCATCTTGGATGTGCCTTCAGGCATGCATGAAAGAAAAGACCAATAAGCAAACAGAATAGGATGTAGCTGTAGAAACATATGATCTGAGTGAACAAGCAGGGAAGGTTCCTGGAATCTGAAGGAAACCAGTTTCTGCATATTATTTGTCGAATGTGGGGAAGGAGGAAATAACTTGCCTTGCTGACCAAACCAGAACAGTGATGTTGCTCTCTGCCAGTTTTTTTATTTTAAGCACTAGCTTCCTTGAGGGTGGCATGGGATGGTTTGTGTGTCATTTTCAGGTTTTGTTTCTTCAGGTGCCAAAATACCAAAGCCATCATTGATACTAACTCCAACGCATTACTGCTTGTAGGTTCAATAGGTGCCAGCTCTTGATTATGTGCAGATTACTTGAGCAGACTTTCATGTGTTGAGATAGATTATACATGAGAAATATTTGTGTCCTTTCTTGAATCCTTGTTGGGTTGTATCTTGTCATCAGTCCACAGCAGTGTAGAGTTCTACTTGTTGAGGGCATAATCCTATCTAGATTTAGACTAAAGAAATTACTGCAAGTCGTAGCATTCCCTAGTCATCTAAAGTTATAGGACTTTCCCCTGTATTAAGATGCATAAGATTGTACCCTGAAAGACATGAAATAGATGAATAGTGAGCAGGAACAAATGACCCTGATACTAGATGGTGTGAGGCAAGACAGCAGTTCCTGTTCCCTTTAGGGATTTCCATTTTAGGGTTGTTTAGAGGAAGAGTCCTACTGTTACTAGCCATTGCTTCTCCTTTCTATTCCCTTTTTCTTTAGTTTTTCACAGGTGTGGTACTCCAATAACGCTTTCTTAGAGTTACATGTTTAAAACAAACAAAACGAACTGTTTATGTGATCAACCATGAAGATATAATTCATTGCGGTTTAGCTGGGCTGATGTAAATGTCGAAGTTTAAATATTTGGATTTACAGTCAAATGGATGATCAGCTTCTGCCGTAGAGCTCCTTACTTGGGGGAGATGGGTGGAAGGGAAGAACTGGCTTATTACCAGATATCTTGTATTAGTCACAATTTGGTTTTGGCTGGGGGTGGGAGGGGGCATAACCAAGCTTCCTGCAAAAGGTTATGTTCCTTCCATGCCACTTGAAAGTAACCCCCTATGATTTAAGTTACTTGTTTCTATTTCATGCATTAAAAATATAGCAGCATTAAGAATTAATGAATTGGGACACCACAGCATAATGGGTAGAATTCTGCTGATAGACTTGAAACATTTGTGTGGATTTGATCAAGGCTAGGGGTGGGCAATTTGCGGACCTCCAGATTAGTTATGTTGGCAAGGGGTAATTGTAGTTGTAGGACAGAACTGGAGGACCACAAGTTACCCATGCTTGTTGAAAGCCAGTCATCTTCAACTCCTGAGCTAAGGCAGGTAGCAACAGTAGCATGAGCCCCATGCAAATATCTGGTTTAAAAAAAGCATACTCTGAATCCATGTTCGGATTTAAAGGGAATTTTAAGTCCAAAAAGGTTGAAGAGCAGAGGAAGGGATCCTCTCACCTGTGGGGCCTTTCCATTCTGGCTTATTTTCCTGGAAAAATTGTCCTTTGCTATATTAAGACTTTGAAGAATGCTCCATTTGTGCCAAAGAGGCTTTTTGAAAGTCTGATTGCAGCATGGGAGGCGGAAGAAGGTGTACTTGTGAGAGGGAAAGGAGATACATTGGACTCCTGTATGGAGTAGGGTGAGTGTGCATGCGTGCATGCATGTCTGGGGAAGCAAGAAGAGGGCTGCCCATAAGTCCCAGCAGCACCAGCTGGGAATGGCGTGATATTTTCTGTACCAACATGTATGGAATTGTACTCTTAAGTAAAAATTGCTGGCACACTTAGCTGCCACTTTTTGCTCTTTCCCCTGCCTGTAATCTGCCTGCTGAAAGCTGCTCTGAAATAGAATTTGGCCCTCAGACTGAGAAAGAGCATGTGCCACCGTGCAGTTCTCACCCTTTCTCAGCCTAACTTTCTGCACAGAGTAGTTGTCCTGAGATTCTAGCTAGAAAGGTATGTGCAAAGACATTAAAGCTGATTCAGTGGGCTTTGTGAGGTAGCCATAGATTGCTAGTGCCAAGATGCAGCATGTTGTTCTTTGGATGAAAAGCATGGCAGGGGTTTTGCCTGGACTTTTTTCCCTGCCTTTTTGGATGTCTGTATGTGGAAGTTTGATGGTTCCCTTGTTTTATTCAGGTATCATTGTGAAGAGAGTTGAAGTAATGAGAAGTCATCATGGAAGCCCAGTCCCATAGCTCTACCACCGGGGAGAAGAAAAAAGTTGAGAATCCCATTGTGAAATCCTCCACTCGAACAGATGTCAGTGAGAAAGCCGTTGCCTCCAGCACAACATCCAATGGTGAGTAACAGCAGGGATTTACTAGCAGCCAAACCTGCAGTAATTTAATGTGCACTGCAGTCCATGTGAATTGAGCTTTTGCACCTGGATTCAGTGTTTGTTCTGAGGAAAAACTAAGGCTAGCAGTAAGCAAGCAGTGTGGGGAGACAAGAGGGGAATGGGAAAGTGTGTGTGTGTATGATATAATGAGCCCAGCTCTGGCATCAAACCTTGCCTTTTTCTTCCAAATTATCCAATTTAAGTTGTAAATAGTGATGTTATTTATTATGGGAAGTTCCTGTTGTAGCATTTTGGAAAATAATCTTGATTAGTCTGGAAAGTATTCAAAACACTTCGCATTTTATCATGGAAATTGCTTACCCTAGGTAGATAATTGGTTAGTACAAAAGAGACAAAAGTGGCCTTGTCAAAAATTAATGGCAAGGTTTTCCTTTCTTTTTTAAAATAAACTGCCCATTGTAAACATCCTCTCTCCTGAATTGGCTCCTCCTGGATTTCTTCAGATATTAAAGACAAAACAGCAGGCAAAGAGAACATGCTCAGTTTTAGAAACGTGAACATGTAGTTTGCAGGAGTTTACTTGGTTCCTCCCAGAGAGTTGGTGCCTGCTTGGTAATTTGACAGGCGTACTGAGAGCTGATCTAATCCACCAACTTTTCCAGTTTAATTTAGACCTAAGGTCATTGGTGAAAACCCCTGTTGTAGTCCACTGAATCACCTTTGTTTCACAAAATAGCCAAAGAATCTGAACTTGTGGTTGAGGTACTTTTTTGAAATAAATGCAGCCACTGTGAGATCTACTTCCTAGTAAACCTGCATAGGATTGCACTGTAAATTATTTTTGCTTTAGGCCCATTCAATAGATCAATAGTGTTCAATCAAATAGATTGAACAAGTTGAAACTGATGTTTTATACCAACAGGTTTCCTATGTTAATTTTAATAATAATAAAATTCTTAAAAGAACCTTAAATCTTATAAAATAAATCTGTGAAATCTTTTAACAGATTATATCTTGCTTGTTTTTTAAACACTGTCTTATGTGGATTGCATCGCCTGCATAACATTGATTTGAACACGTTAGTCATTAGAAACTTAAGTCCTATTGATTTCAGTTGGACTAAGGCATGACTAATTTAGTCTGGAAGTAATCCAAATTGTGTTGTTCGAAAATATTGAATTAGTGCTTGGAGATTTCATATTAAATTTAAGGTGGAATTAGGACATTATACATTTTCGGATTTAAGCAAATGTATGTAAGAATTGATGATAATTGACTCAAGCAAGAAGTTAATATTTCAAGACATATTAATACTATGCTACTCCTTTATAAATGATTATGGATAATAATTTCTGGTTTCTACCATCTCTGTCAGTCTTTTTCAGTATGAGCATGTATACTAAGTAAATCCAAATGTTATATGAATAAGAAAACTTGAAAAGGAATTGTTGAAAACATTGAGGAATTCATGTCTGATATACATATATGTATTTGATGCCTATCAATTGCTATCTATCAGGCACTGTAGGAAATTGATAAGCTGCCACACAAAAGCTTCTCAGCCTGGTGCTTTGGTATCTGTAAAAGGTATGTCTCTGGGAATGGGATGTTCATGTGCCTGGAACATACCTGAGCTACATCAGGGAGGCAGTGGTGCACTCTATGCCCTGTACCAGCTTTCTCTAATCTAGGGCCTCCAGATGAGCTGGATTGCATAGTTGTATTGACTGGGGATGATGGAACTTGCAGTCCAGCACATCTGAAAGGCACCAGGTTGGGGAATGCTGGCCTCTATTTAGCTCCGACAGCGTTGTGCACCAGGAGAAGTGCAGGCTGAAACGCTATAGCTATCCCATCTCTGTACTGTGGTCCCTTGGATGCACTAAAGACTGTAGTTGTAGCCTCAAAGGCATTTTGTTTCTTTCGCATAATCTTCATGAAACTCTGCAGCGACTAAACCACAAAACCATGTGTTCCACTTACAGCATAAATAATAGAGTCCAGTGGCACCTTGCAGACTAACACATTTAGCATCCTTTCATGAGTCAGACCCCACTTCATCAGTTGAAAGAATAGTATGAAAACACAAAAACACTTAAGAAACCTTGCCTTCTTTCCATTGCTAATGATAAACATCTATTCTTCTTGGTTTATTTTCTTTGAATGTTATTTACATATACCAGATAAACTTCCTAGCAAACAGCTGCAGTCCAAAGCCTAGTGAATTCAGCAGGCAGCCTTTTATATTAGTTAAAGAACTGGTTCCATGCAAGCATAAGGTATTCCCCTCATGTCCATGGTTTTAGGGTGAAAGGCCCACAGAAATTTTACTTCTAACATTTTTCTTTACATCTTGATGACTACCATAAGGGTAGCAGGTGTAGATGGCTAATTCTTAATTATTCTTGGCACGTGCACAGTTTTTTTTAGCATTTAAAATATTTTATGTACACAATCTCCATAAACTTTATGCCAGTAAGATAGTTCAGTTAGATATCACTGAGTCAGATCATACCGTTTATTGAGCCACATCTTAAATTCATGGCGAAGGTGAGATTTGAACCAGGAAGTCTCACCTTCTACACCACATTTACACAGTGCGATAACTCGTTTTATAGTGGTCTGCATTATCAGGTTGATATTTTAAGGCTGATAAGCAAGGATCGGCAGTTGCTGTTCAGCCTGAAATGAACAGATTTGGCAGGTAGGTGCTTAAAGTGAGGGCCAGTTCACATGGTGCTTTTTGTTTAAGAAAAGACATCAAAGAATGATTTTACCTCATCCGTTTTCATGCAAGGGAGGAATATTTCTTAGGAATGTGCCCACATACAGAGACAGCTGGTGTTCATCATGTTGGAGATCCTGTTAGCTGTCAAGCCTTCCCCCAGGTCAGCCCTCCTAGTTCCTGGGCATGTGGTCCCCATGTGTTTGCATACAGGAGTTCTCCCTCCAGACACCAAAGAAGAGGCACAGTAAATACCTGTGATAATGTGGGGACCAGTATTTCCATAACGTGTAAAACAGTCCTTGGTAATATGAGAGAGATACCTGTCAGTGTGGAAAACAGAAGAATTTTTTCCAGATTTAGCCCTTTCATTCACCTTTAACACATTCACAGTGAAATCCTATACATACTTCTCAGTAGTAAGCCTCATTGCACTCATTGACTTACTCTCCTGTAAGCTTATAGGTGTCTGCAGCTTTGAAATACTACTCTTACCTCCTCAGCAAGCAACTTAATAGCTGATTAAGTCATTGGTTGGGATCCTAAGGAATATGAAACTAGTTTTGGGAGCCTAGACTACATGGTAAACTGCTTTTAAATTGGAAGGAGTTTTAAGTCTTGTTTGTGGTAGGATATGGTGGATGTGGGTATAAGTCAACTCTTAACAAAAGTCAAAAATTCCAGAAGGGTTGCACACCTTTGGATCTTGGCCAAATCTCCTTATTTTGATTTACAGAGATCGATGTTTGGAGTTGCTGGGTAAGAATTTCCCATAGGATTATAACTGTGCACATACTGGCCAAAACACGCATCTAGCAGCATGCCTGAAGGCATATGTAAAAGGTCCTAGTGGGTGCACTCAGTTTCAGTTATGTCAGACACCTGTGTAATCAGAAATGTGGTTAACAGCAATATTAATTACCTTTGGAGAAGTGTGAACTTGAGTTCATTAATGCATATATAGTAGCCCCGAACTCTCAGTGGAAAAATGATTTATACAAGTAAAACACTAATATAAAAGTGTTGGAAACGTAATTTGAATTAACACATACAATAAATACCCTTTGTCCTGCAGCAAGGTAGAAATGTCATGTGGGGTTTCAGACAAATGAAGACGTTAACAGTATTAGTAAATAAAAATATGTCAAAGTTCTGGGAGCCAGCCAGCCTTGCATTTTGAGATGGGTCAAATAACTTTGTTTTCACCTGGTCTGAAATAGTCTTGAGCTGTGACTATCTCTCTATATGGGAGAAGAGTTCTGGTGGGCCATCATTAGGCTGGGTGATCAGACACCTGGGTTTGCATAATGGTAGGGCCAAGCCACAGAATAAGTAGGTATAACACAGTTGAAAGTAGAACACATACTTAAATTTCTTCCACTGGAATCAAAGGATCTAAAGGTGTTTTTCCCACAGTTTGCTCCTCATAGTTAATAAATAGGGCAACAAGCTTTAATAAATGTATAGAATAATCTCAGGGTGGTAGAGGTTGTGGGTGGGGGCACAGAATTCATAGTTGTGGTTTCTCCACATCTGGAGACCTGCCATCCTGCTGTGACAAGGAAGGCAAGAATGTATTTTATGAAGCACAGATGGGCTTTATCTCCCCCCCTTAATCTTTTTCATCTTTCCATTGACTGGGGTGGGGCAGGATTTACCATGCCCCGTGCCAGCATCAGAGGCATTTCTTGATTCTAGGCCCAGTTTTGGAGCATGGTGGGGGAGCCAGAGTCTCCCTGGACACACTCCTGCAGCATCCTGTGGCCACTCATTCCCTCTCCCAGAGAACCTAGAATTGCTGCTTTAGCTTGTGGTTGCTGAGGACCAATTCTAATTGGTGGGACTTTGGGATAAGGGTGTATCAGTTTACTTGCTTTGGTTGTGCTGCTATACTATGAAGTGATAAAAAATATTTAAGATGGTCTTTCTTTCTAACTGTAAGTATAGCTTGTGTTCATTAATTTTGGAAGTTGTATATCAGCACTTTGCCTAATTTGCCAAAAAAGGGAAAGGGAAAACATGTATGGTCCGGTTTTGATTTTCTGCATATTTTTTACCTTTCTAAAGAAATTAGCAAACCATTGTTCCCAGATAGTGTCTGGGGAGACATAGGATGCCGTCCATCTCCTTCTGCCTAGTTCTAGACAGAGCTGTGACCGCAAGGGTGGATCTGATCATGGATCTTCCCTTTCTAGTCACAGTGGCTCCTCTTCCAAAATCACTGATGCTGGTAGCACTGCTCTGCCACTCCATGTTTGATTGCTTCATTTTCCTC